GGGTAAATACAATATTCTTTTAAAATATACTTGGTTAATGCTGACATTACTGGACATGAATGTAAATCTTTTAAAAATTGAAAAAAAATCAGGATTCAGATATCCTCTTGTAATTTTTTCCCATCATTCTGATAGACACCATCTGCCACTATTGGTCTCAACACTGCTGTTTACAGGAGTAAACGTCACACACTTACTCCTCTGTTTCCACATTCATGGACTGTGTGGACCTTTTTGTAAGGTGCCCTATAAATCGACTGCACTGTCTTGCTTAGTCAGTGTTCTAGATGAAGGATCACATTAGAAGTGAATTATTTGCTGTTTTCAACGATGGGAAAGAATTTATCACTTCAGCGTTACTTTGTGATTTGAGAAATAATGCTACAGCCTGTTGGAGTGTTAATTAAAGCCAATAATAATTTGCCTTCTCTAGTCATCACATAGCTATGTTCATCAGCTCTTTAAACAGATTAAGCAAAACTTGACAACCCAGCTCTTGACGACACAATAAGTTTAAGAAGTCTTGTCTCTGCTCCAGCATTCATGAGTTTAAATAAACCATCTTAGTTAAACCAATATAAATGCTTTGTGGGCATGCTTGTATCAGTTCAGAACTAGTCTAGCACCAGTATTGAGACTTACCAATATAAGCTAAGTTTAATTGCTCTGAGTATCAGTATTGCTCTGAGTTACACCAATTTAACTAAAATTTTCACACATGTGTGTAGACCAGCCCAGCCTAGCAAGACTTTATTTCATAGGTGTACTGAGGGCTTCACTGGCAGGTTTGGAATAATATAGACAATTGTCACTGAGATCAAAAAGACAGTGCCTACATTTATTTTCCCAGCTTCTTCCACTGCATATATTTACAGTTGCTTCTAAGTCATTAATGAAGATTTAAATAAGATGGTACTGAAAGCTGATTGCTGTACCACAACTCTGGGCTTCATCTGTCCAGTTTGATATGTTGCTGTTAACTGTTGCCTTACTTCATGCTTCAGCAGAGTTACCTGTACAGACTCTGGGGAGCCAGGTCAAACTAGTGCACTTCCTCTTCTGGTAAAGCGCTGCTTGTTTTCTTTTTTTTTCACATCTGTCGGCACCCTTACTGAACTTTTGGGTCCTATTTCTGTTCATGTCAAATTCTTTTACTGTTAGAGGACATGGGGACCCATTTGTTTTTAGTTTAATTTTTCGCACTGTTTTTGCCAACTTTCCAATAATTTTTGTTCACTGTAATGGATGACAAGTCTAGGGGAAAAACACAGTAAAAGAAACAGGATTTCTGTCCTAAACTTTCATTACATCTGTAATGAAAGCATCTGCTATGATGTATGTGTAGGCAGGGGTGAGTGCGTTTTACTGAGCTCATGCCGCTTTGCCCTCTCTAATTTTTTTGGTGAGCATGTGTGCATTACAACTCTTTAAAGCAAATCCCAAAACTCCCATGAAATAGATTGAGGCATGGAATGGTTATTGTTCTCCTAATATCAGCAAAGCTAAATGTAGAGCCAGGAACAAAATCCAAGGGCTTTGTGAAATCTGCTGCCCCTGCATTCCTTGTGCAAATGAATCTATATGCTGAACACAAAATTTAGGCAAAAAGTGAGTTCTTAGTCTGTTACAGCCATGTGAAATGACTTGTTCGTTTCCCTCTGGCAATAACTTGTTTCACAAACCTGCCCAAGTTTTTGACTTTGTAACAAAGATAAGCAGTTTTGTCTGGTTTAGGCTTTTGTTAGATTAGGTGTTACAACCTATTTTCTTACTCGGACTGGTGATTCATCATTCCTTTCTGCCAACCAAGTGGACAAACAGGAGGCTGTTAATGGCATCAGTTATTCTTTTGCTAACAAGTGTATCCAGTAACTAAAGAATTCATCCCAGATCTAAATTTGATTAGAAGTTGCTTCCTTTCCGAAAAATGTAATTTCCTTTTTTTTTTCATTTTCAATTGGAGGAGGAGGAAGTGGATGTAAACGATCTTAAACTTAAAATTCTGTGCAAGGCTCTTCGAAGAGATGGGTACGTAAAAATTAAACATAAATTTAGTGTAAAATGTTTTATATTCGTTACATTGACTTGTTTTTCCCCCCCAGAATTGTAAAGTCTTTACTACTAATATCAGGTTGAGTGTTCTAAACATATGATCAGTAAATCACGAAAAGTTTGCTCAGGGTAAAGTGGTCTGGATATCACCTTACAAAGATACTTCCGTAACAGTTCATTCACTTATTCCTACAGCAATAATACAGGTATTTTGAGCAAGGAATAGAAACTAAACCATGTAGCTATTATTTATTTCTGCCCTTTAATGGCCAGTGATCTTGTTAAACTCCCCAGCTTGATAACTATATATGGCTGTTGGTTTCTTTGGTACATAATTTGAGATTCACTGAGCATGCTTAGCAACATCCTAACATGGTGCCATTTTTTTTTTTTCTTATTACCACTCTATCCCCAGGGTAAGGAGGG